ACATATTCGCCGTTATATACCTATATATAGACATACTATACGATATAGATACTCTTATCAATGACGTTGTAGTCAGCTAATAATAGCTCTTGATATAATCCATATATGGGCAATTCCTTGGTAACGGGCTTACAATTCAGAGAAATTTCCCTTATAGTTTTACATGCTATGGATTAATATGTTTATTATATACAAGTTTTAACCTATTAACAAAACTTTTATAAGGTTATGTGGCACCCTTGTCATCATATCAAAATGGAAAGTTGGATACCTCAGCAAAGAAGCCAAGAGCACAAGAATGCTGCTAACCAAATTACGTCAGAAAATTGGGTATAATTTTTCCCTTAACTTCAAAAGATTTCTTTTCAATCTATAACACATTGGTCAAAGTTTGATCCGGATCTATATTACCTATTGTCTAAATTATACCCTGGCATGCATTTTTAGGGTCATATTGTTGCGGATATTTCATATATATTTAATACTTGACTCTTTTCTAAAAAAAAGGCAGCGGTACTGGAATTACAAAAATGGTAACGGAATTTCGTCTTCTGAATTTTTACTTAAAGAATGCCATCAATTATCTCAAGCCCCCACATCATATTGTCTATCATAACAAATATTCTACTGTATGTTTCTGTACGTACATTTAAAAATTTTGAAAATGTAGATCGCAGGAGATGATATTTGAAGCACTTTTGAGTACATGTACAGCCTTCATTCTGACTACGACAATTCTCTTTTTATTAGAGCAATTCTTATTTTTTTTTTTTTTACTTTTGGATCAACAGGAGTGGCCATGACCCCCCTTTGCCCCCCTTAACTACGCCACTGCCCGCGGATTTCTTCCCCGACGTGTGGCCGGCCGTGTTTTTCTCTATAGTACAGACTCACGCGCTGGTTTAAATAACCTGTTACTGCCCGTACAGTAAGTACCTAGCAAGATCACGCGCCTCGGCGTCAACTTGACTGATCGCGCGCATCGCCGTCGCCGCAGGGCTAAACCGAAGAGGCAGATAAGGTCTCTGTCTCCCTGGGTACTGCCGGAACGTACCCTGGTAACTATCTGATATGGTTAGGGTTAGAGTTAGGGTTAGGGTAAGGGTTAGGGTTACGGTTACGGTTAGGGTTATGGTTAGGGTTACGGTTAGGGTTAGGTAGTCGGCGTAGGCGGCTCCCTAGACAGGGAGACATAGACCCTACGGGCCCGAATAAGAACACATCCGTTGACTCAGCCTGTCGTTGCGTATCATTGTATTTACAGTGGCGGATCTGGAGGGGGTTAGAATGGGGGGGGGAGTGTTGCAATCCCCCTCCCGTTCAGCAACTTCATGACTAATGTTATGATACCTCTAAAATAGAGCCCAAAATAAAAAAGTCAGTCTAGTAGTTTCTATCAGCCTGCAGACTGACTTTTTCATTTTCTTCTTGAGGATGTCCCTGTAACTACACAGGGGGAGGTGTGCATGCCCCCGGAACCACCCTAGCACCGCGTGCTTTTGACACGCCTTCACTCGAATATCAACCCTCCCGTCTCCTGAAAGCTAGATCCGCTCTTGATTCATTTAAGCGCTCTACGTTTTGGCAATGAATGACTGTTATTAACGAGCACAGGAAGTTGAAACGGACACTTGGGAAAGTCCCAAAAAAGCCGCAAAGATTAGGTGAAATTTCCACCCGGATCTGTTGAGATAAACTAAATCCGGGTGCGCTGGGTATAATATGTGTCAGCGCAATGTTACAGACATTCGGGTTAAATTACTCCAGACAGAAGCTATGGAAATGTGGACAAAACTGCAGAATTTTGCGGCGCTATGTGTTTTGCTTGTGGCATTTTATCGGCCAGCGATAGGAGAATCCGCCGTACGTATAGGATCCATTGTACATGACTCGTCACTAGATAAGAGCACTGCTGTTCCAAGCGCTGTAAATGTTCGATTACAATGACATTTCGTACATATCTTTCACTAAGCGCTACCTTAAGGAATTCTAGTCGTCTCATTTCGTTCTCGTTCGTTGCTGCTTTATAGACACGCAGTACAACGATGAAAGCAGTCGGTGTAAGATGTCGATGATGAGATGAGATGTGCAGATATATTATAGGTGTGCACAAATTAGTGTCGAGCTTGTTGGCGCATGTTTCAGTTTCCTCTTAATGTGGCTGGCGACGAGGAATACATCTTAAACGACAACTACGATGTGCAAGCCGTGAATCATGACGGACAGTGTGTGTGTCGCATTGACGCCCCGGCGCCAGGCCTGTGCTCCGACAACAGCCAGTTCCAGGAGCTAAAATACCTCAGCCACAAGGTAGCGAATGCGTTTGTGGGGTTTTCTACTGTAATTAGCCGAACTCCTAATTCGTTTTTTTGTGTGCTTGATGTGCATATATGCGGTTACGTCTGGTCAAGGCTACATTTTTATTTTAATACTTTTGCTGGCTTTCACGCCGTTTTTAGAACGATATAGCTTTTTTCAATTCTTTCTGAAAAACTGGCAAGCTTACGTCTATAATTTCTACGAGAAATTCATAATTTATGAGTATTAAATTATATTGCGATCAGTATTTCAATACTAAAAACTCGCAAAAAATTGCCGTATTCGTAACGATAGCTATATTTATATGTTTTTTGAAGACGGATTCCATTTATAACTGTACGTACGTCTGCGCTGCTTTTAGGTGGGAAACTTGAGTAAAATTGTGAACGAAATGATCAGCGGGCAATTCATACAACGTTTCGCTCGCATGAAGCAGAAATTTGAAGAAATGCAATCAACAGCCGGCTTCATAATTCATGGCTATGACTTGCGCAACATGCGAGATGAAATAGACCTGCTGTCGAATCTCATGGAAGCTATAGCGCACAATGATACGGATGCTGAGAGGGTAGAGGTAAGGCAGGCTCTTCTGCGAATCAACGAAACCATACACTACCATGAAATAAGTGAGATACAAGCTCATAATAACAACGTGGGGTCTGTGCATAGGTCTTCTTTATCTACTGTCTCAACGCGTTGAGATGATTTACTATTTCCGTAATTTAATACTGTTCTGTTAAAATAAATGGAACTACTTTATATTGTAAACGCTGCGTATAAAGCATTGCGCTGACATGTTCTTTGTGTTGCAGGATTTGCACGCGCAAGTTCAGAACCTGTCGACATATATAGATAGCGTAAAACTTTTGTACTCAAATGAAGATTCCCTGAAGAAGGAGGTAAGTACCGTATTAACACCCTTGGTATTACCACCATATACATGATTCTCTGACCCTCTCTCTGTATCTTTTCATTTCTATATCTCCCTCTTTCGCTCCCCTTCTCTCATCTCTATCTCGCTCTCTTTCTTTCTATGTTGCTCGCTCTTTTCCTCCACCTTTCGCTCTCGTTTTATCTCTCGGCCTCTGCTTCTATCTCGCACTATCTTTCTATCTTATTCTACACGCTTCCTCTGTCACCGTCTCGATCACTCTAGAACACTTTCCCCTAACACTGGAATCGGGATGCTCCCCACCATCTTCGTTTGTTTACCCACGAACTTGTGTAACCAAAGATTGATACCAAAATTAATATTCAATGCTTCAGTTAGCAGATCTAGATTCAAGATTAGGTTCTTGCAAGGAGCAATACGCATTCCACGTCACTGAAAGCAGCCAATCGGACCTCGTGCCAGATTTCTTTCACGGAGCCCATAATATTTCGGTGCCAGGTGAGTCTGAATCGACAATAGGAATATAGATAACAGAGACTGGCTTAGCCGCTTTGTAACGATAGGTGTTAGTAGTTGTTAGAAGTTATTCGTAGCTAATGTCATTTTATGTTTTTCGTCTAGGTTTCCGCCCCTCTAATTTTCATTTATTGCAATTCTATATAAAGTTTTCTCAAATTTAGTATATTTTCATTGATAATTAACTGTATGTTTCCAGTATCAGCTTTCTTAGGAAACATTAATTAGCAGGGTGGATCAGAATCGAGAGAAAATCAGACACATGTCCACAGATACACGAACGCATGCAAGCACGTGCGCACGTACGATACTATATTATCGATGTTATATGCTGTACATTCTGTATCGCTCTAGTAAACTGTGGAAAAGAAAAGCTATCATCCATCTCCGAGCCGTGGACGCATAGGTGGATGGGAACTGCCGCAGCGAATAACTACGGAGCTTGGTTCAAAGACCCGCTGCCAGCACCGGGCAGCGAGAACAAAATCTACTACGTCTCAAATCCCACTAATCAGAAGTCGCTGTACGAGTACGCAAACTACAAGGACTTTATATCGAACCGGCGCCGCCTGGTGCATACGCTCACGCACGCGTACGGCGGAACGGGCTTTGCCGTCTACAATAACTCCTTTTACTACTCGAGCTACAATTCGCAAGTGATCAATCGCTACGACCTCACAACGAAGAAAACCCTTGCGCGGCGCACCCTCACTAATGCGGGCAAGCAGAACACGTACCCGTACAGTGTCAACCAGTTCACGGACATCGATCTAGAAGTGGACGAAGTCGGCATGTGGGCCGTCTACTCGACGGCGGAGAATCAAGGTGCGATCGTTATCACTCAGTTGGATCCCGTGACCTTAGCCCTCAAGCGAACGTGGAATACGGATACGAGCAGGCTCAAGAAGTCCGTCGGCAATGCGTTCTTCATCTGCGGGGTGATGTACGCGACCAGCAGTCATAACACGCGGGACAACAACGTCTTCTACGCCTTCGACACGAATACGTCGACAGAGGAGTACGTCTCGATCCCCATGTCGATCAAGTACCAACTGATGAGTCAACTGTCGTATAATTACAGGGAGAAGGTCTTGTTTGGATACGACTATGGACACATGATCTCTTACCCGCTCAAATTTGCGTCGCAGCCCGGGGCTGGTTCGGAAATTCCAGTGGCCGACTAGAATGACAATGAACGCCTAGCTCTCACGCAGTAGACGAGTTATTTCTCTTTCTTCGGAATAGTTCGTTGAAATGTTCACAAACATTTCATTGAATTTCATGACAATATATAGGAGAGAATTTGTTTTATGATGAATCGATTTATCCTTTAAAATACATTAGATAGATAACGTTACAACATAAAGAACGTTAAATAAATGAATTTGTATCATAAATACTCGTATTTTTCCTTACCTCCGCCAAACAATTGTAATTACTGCCGTGTTCTCTTGAGGAGAGGATGTGGGGGCTGGAGAGATGGTATGAGAT